ATAAGGAAGCATGGTTGCTTTGTTGTTTAACTATACATTACCACGTGCCATAGTGCATTTATTTTCATAGCGTTTCAATGACTCGATTGCTACAACAGGGACCTTAAGCAAACCACGACGACAACGGCAACGAAAACGTCACCAAACAAAAGAGTTAATGAGCAGAACAATGGCTGATAAATCCTCACGAATGTCTTAGCAGTCCGTTACAAATTAAACAACAACGTGAAATCACCAAGTTCTGAGCACTTTGCGGAACGTGAACCACCGCGACTAATATTTCCTATTTTTTTGTGGAGTTGATCACTGGCGTTGCCTATTTAGTTTGAGCAACGCGTCGTCCTTGCCGTCGCCGTCGTCATTGCTTAAGGTCCCTAATATTTCCAATAATGTGTCATTACATTCTTGCCATTTTAGATTGGATTGGTATCCTTCAGTACATTTGCCTCAACACCAGGAAAATATGACGGGGACGACAAAACGTGTTTCAGCGAGCGTTTGGCGGATGCCACACCTTCAAATCTAAAATACTTGAAAGGGTATTTAGAAAGTCTCAAAGCGCAAGGTAATGAAAATGAACTATTTTCCTGCACGTTTTACTGGGTTAAGAAAGGGTTAAAGCTCTTTTGACACATCAACGTCTCAGAGTTGTGAGTTACTGAGTTTCTTTCAAATGGTGGAGATATGAAATAATGATATAACCCTGAAATGAGGTGAGGTAGGGTCGGATAATTTTCTGGAATGCGGGTTTTGATAATGAGTTTCCTTGATTTAATCTTTTTTCCTCTAGGAGTTACTAATTACGCAAACGCTTTCGATGCCGCCTTCCGCTTGTTGAAAACATCATATTAGGGCCACGGCAGTACCCGGCATATGGTTATTATGTTTCTTACTGACGGTGCGCCCAGCGACGATAAAACGAACATCATGCAAACAATCAAAAACCGAAATTCAGAGCTGCACAATAAAGTGATAATAATGACATATGGGATGATGGTTAACAAGAAGATTCTTCAGGATATTGCAAATCAAGATGGTACCTCGTATGGTGTGTCCAAAGATACGTCCTCGGGTATAACTGTAAGTTAATTTCTTATTTCTTTGGTTTGCTCCTTCCCCTTCATACTCTCTTGCTTGCTCTTTTGGTCCCACCCCTGTTGACGCCCCTAACACTTCATTTTTCCTTTTATCTTATAATACCTCACGATTAGTCCTTTCTACTCTTCCTTCACCTTCTTCCT